ATCAGCAACACATCATATGCCAGCAAAATATTCAGCTCCCAATTGCTCCCTCACCATAAAAATTTATGGGTATCCACAATTAAAAATGAAAAAAAAAAAACAAATAAAAAAATCGTAAAATCCCCAAATTTGTCATCGATTCCTAGAATCCACGCATCACGGTTCGTAAAAAATAAGAGATAAAATTACTGACATGGAATAGTGAATGGATAAATTCCGCGATACCCACTAATCTGAAAAGGAAAAATTAAAATCAAAAGTGGAAAATCCGAAGAACCTGAAGAAGCCCATCTTCCAAAGGCGATCTCTCATCCTCAAGCGAACCCATATTTGTCTTTGAATCTGATCCCCAGAACGTAATCCCAGAACAGACACAGAGATGAAGAAGGCAGAAGAGAAGACAGGCAGATACCGTTTAAGTTTACCCTTCCCTCTTTATCGGTCAAGGAATCTGCAGCTGTGTTGTTGGACAGGGCTAAGTACTATAAATGGGAGACATCATGGCCCTGGATCTTCTTTGCTAGTTGTCATCTTGTCCGTCTATCTAGTGACCTAACGTTTATCCATCGGTCAGACAGCCTATATCGGGATGCGGGATCCGGCGGGATAGTAGCGTATATGGAGGAGACGACTTTAGGGTGGTGTTATTGCACAGCTTCACAGGTGAACACCACAGCTTTTTTAATTAATTGACCATTAACCCACGCGAAGAAGGGGTGACTGCTGCAAGTTGGATTCAAATGAGGGGTATAATAGTCAAATAATTAAAAAAAACTATGGTATTAACAGTAGTGGCTGTGCCAATAACACCACACCACCCACGACTTTAGCACGATTGAAGTCTCACCTTATCAATGCCTATAGGATTACAAGATATGTAATTCGTATTATTTTGGGTGACATCTACTTACAGTACGTCGCATAGTTTATAAATTACGTTCAGAATTAAATTTTGAAGTATAAATTTAAAAAGATCCTCACGTTCCGGTTAAAATTTTTGGTTAGTAGGATCAATTTTCGTAAGCTGTATTTTTAAACCCCATAAATTTCCTTTCTCCGATCCTCATTTACTTTTTTCACAAAAAAAGAAGAAGAATGGATTTGAAAAAAATAATTTTATTAAACATGCTCTAATAAAGGGAGGGTGTATTGTAAAATTATTTAAAAAATTAATCTTAAAGCACATAAAATTTAATTAAGAGATAACTTAATTATAAATATAAAAAAATATGTAATTTATATTATTCTTATGTATAAATATTAATTTTTTTAAATCAAATTTAGTTGAGTTTTATGTAAAATTTAATTTGAAAATTTTATATAATAAATAAATAATAATTAATTTTTTTATCTAAATAAAAATTTTTAACAAAAATTTTATATATAAAATTTTTTTTATTATCTATTTATTATATAAAACAACG